ACACGCTCCCTCCACACGCTCCCTCCACACGCTCCCTCCACACGCTCCCTCCACACGCTCCCTCCACACGCTCCCTCCACACGCTCCCTCCACACTCTCCCTCCACACGCTTCCTCCACACTCTCCCTCCACACTCTCCCTCCACACGCTTCCTCCACACTCTCCCTCCACACGCTCCCTCCCCGCACTCCCTCTCGTTCACTGTCGCCGTCTCTCCCGTAGCCCGCCTCCCGGACGAAGCTGGGCTTGCTAGAGAAGAAGAAGGACTACCGGCTCCGCGCCCAGTGAGTGTGGCCGAGGGCCGGGCAGCCCTGGGTGGGTCTCCCCTCCCCGTGTCTTGGAGCTCTGAGCATCGCTGGGAAGGACTCGGCACCTCAGCAGGGGTGAACGCGATGAAGCTGCTGTACAACTCGTGATTGTTGTTTTTTCCCTCCCCAGTGACTACCACAAGAAGCAAAATGCACTCAGGGCGTTGCAGAAGAAAGCTCTGGACAAAAACCCCGATGAGTTCTACTTCAAAATGATACGTGCAGAGGTCAAGGTGAGAACCTTCATCGCCTTCAAGCAGAATTACACCTTGTTGCTCTAAGTAACTTTTTTTCCCCCTACCTTGTTTTGATTTTAATTTGTGAACTATTAGATAAATGAGAAAAATTGCTTTGGTGCCTGTGAAAGGCTCTGACGAAAATGAGGGTCCAGGGACATAGTTCTTCTGCTGTTATTAGCAAGGCCCCACAGTACCCTCCAGGTGGGATGGGCTGTCTGTAAGTGCTGTATTTRTCTGATTGTAGGATGGAGTCCATGTAATAAAGCAGCCAAAGGACGAGGTGACCCCAGAGCAGCTGAAATTGATGAGGACACAGGATATTAAATAYGTAGAAATGAAAAGAGTTGCAGAAGCCAAGGTAATAACTCACATTTTTAGTGTTTTCTAGTTTACTCAGAATTGTTTTTTACTATGTTGTTTTTATTGCTGCTTCTGGCTATTGTGTTCGTTCAGTGATCTGATTTGTATGATGCTGGAAAGGACAGTGGAGGTGTCAGTGAAGTGCTGCATATAGAGCCTAAAGGTGTGATGATTATCAAAAATTACACTGTGCATTGTTACAAAACAGTAATTTTAATGTAAATTTCAAGACATTAAACAYGTATTTCTGCTTAGCATGTTTATAAAGAAGTAATGGAATCACTGAGGTTGGAAGAATCCTCTCAGGTTATGAAGTCCAGCTGTTCAGCCAGTGCCACCATTGTCACCACTAATCCATGTGTCCCCAGGTGCCACAGCCWCAGGCCTTTTGAACACTTCCAGRCATGGTCATTCCACCATTTYTCTGGGCAGCCTGGTCCAATGCCTGACCAGCTTTTCAGGAGAGAAGTTTTTCCTAATACCTAACCTGAACCTCCTCAACCATAGCTTGAGGCTGTTTCCTTTGTGCTGTCACAGAATCGCGGATTTATCTAGGTTGGCAAAGACATTTGAGATCATCAAGTCCAGCTTATGACCATCTTATCAACCAGACTATGGCAGGGAGTTACAGAGTATGAGAAGGTCTCCCAGTTGAGGAGAATAACCTGAAGTGGGTTTTTGGAATATGGTGGGCAGGCAATTCTCAGAAATCTCTTCAGAAGATGTTGTTTGCTCTGATGTTGATTCACAAATCAGAATCAAATTATCACTGCAGATAAAAAAATCAAATCCAGCTTTAAGCTTTCCTTCATGCTTTTGCTGGTGGTTCCATGGCAATCATTCCCCTTTGCCATGGAGGGAACTCAGTTTTGCAGGATGTGTGTACTTTGCCTGGGTAACAGCACTGTGACCCTCTGGAAAAGTTGTGAAGACATGCCATAAATATAGACTAGGTGTGTTTTCAGAGATGAAAAGAGGAAGGATGAGTTCAGCTGTTTGTAATATTGAGGAACAGACAGAAATGTCCTCGGGGGAGGCTTGATTTTACTCGCCTTGAATTTGGCCAAACTTGGACTTTCTGCAGAAAATCGAGCGATTGAAGGCAGAGCTCCACTTGCTGGACGCGACGGGGAGCGGCCCTCGCMRGCATCTCTTTTTCGTGGACTCAGARMGGGAAGGTGAGGCTTGAATGGGGAGACAGAACTTATCCTGTCACGTGTTAATTGGGCTGTCATAGAAGAAAGACACTTTTTTTTCAGGGAGGGCTCTAGAAATCCCATTTGGGTACTAGCTGAGACATCACTTCTGCAGGAGCCACATTGCTGAGGCTCTTTTTCCTGACTGTAGAACATGTTTGGAAGGTTTGCTTATCAAAGGAATCCATGGGAGTTCATTCATTTTTTTAAWTTTTTTTATTAATAGTTCAGGAGTTTGATATTGCCACTCGCCTGGACACRGTTCCTGAGCTTGTAGATAGAGTGTACAACCGACCAACCATTGCAACGCTGCAGAAAGAGACAGTGAAGGGACCTACTGATCCTGTCCACTTAAAGGTACTGCCACTGTTTGTCTTACAGAGTTCTCCGTATTTTATGTTTTTTATATGACAAGCACTAAAAAGGATTCATTGCACCATTGTAGAGGTGAACAAAATTGTTTTCTTAAAACTTATTGGTGAGGCAATGTAGTAGTGGATGTGACTTCATTACCAAGTGCCTGGAGCTTGCAGTCACATCTTCTCCTGGCCTAACACAGGCTACTCACCTTATGGACTACCATAAGCTGTGATGTACAGGCCAGAAAAGAGTGATTTGGATCCAATTAGGCAGTGCCCCTGCAAAACTGGGATATTTCTCTATAAAGGAATATACCTATGGGACTATCTTTTTATTAGACTGCTGCAGTTTCAAGTGTGATGTTTTTCAGCATCCACTGTTAAGTCTCCCCTCACACCTCTCTAAAACCACTTGCAGCCCTGAATAGGTATATAGGAAGAATATTGTATTATATGGAATATATTCCAACACAGACATCTGATCCTGATCTTACAGTATTTTTCAGTTTGGTTCTGAGCCTGAAGCAGCTTGAGATTTTTATCCTCTTTCCTTCTTAAAGCCATTTAAGCTATAGTTACACTTCTTGACTTTCCTAATTTGAATTGTTTCATGATTCTTCAGCATGAATTTMTTATGCAATCAGCTTTGATTCTGATTTTTTAGTATCACAGCACTTTTGTCCTAGAAATAGCTACACTCAGCTTTACAGCTGTAGATTCTGCTCAGGTGATTCAGATCTATTGGACAGTCCTCTGAATATGAGTTGGTGTGTGTAAGGTAAAAATAGTTGTTTTAAAATTGCCGACTGGTAAATTTGTAACCTGTTTTTTCTGACTCAGATGTCAGATAATAAACACCCTGTGGTCCCTTTCCTCCTGGCAGCTGTCTCAGTTTGGCTTGTCAGTAAAGCAGTTGGACGAGTCGTAGACTGACTAGTTTTTTCCTAAATGTCTGAGTCATATTTTAAGCATGTTGGGATCTGTTCTCCTTAATTTAATTACTTAAATCACACCTGCAGTAATACTGTTCTGTGCTGGGAAAGCTTTCCACTCTCATTAGGCAAACTTGATCCAACAAGTTGCATCATTTTGAGAGGCCTCTGCAGGCTCTGAGCACTTCAGGAATTGGTCTCTGGTCTGTTGTTTTTTTGGTTTTTTTATTCCCCTCCTCTGGATAAAGTGGATTTTCACTAGGGAGTTAATGTTCTCTTGCACTTCACATTGAAATTCAGAGGATTTAGACCACAGTATCTTGTTCAGCTCTGTCTTAAAACAGCTTTTTTTGTTTCCAGAAATTAGCCCAGCAGAGGAAGAACCAGTATGACCTCCTGAGGCAGCGCATCGAGAGAGAGAAGGCCATGTTTGTCATCACACAGAAAATCCAGACACGGAAAGATCTTCTGGTGAGGGATTTGGTTCTGGTTCTCCAAGTCTGTTCTGTGCAGGTTGTTAGGTCTGGTATTGCCTATGTTGTATATTTTGAATTTGTTTCTTCATTCTGGTTTTATTGTGACACTKCCAGATAACTCCTAAAGGTAAGTAATCTTTTAGTTTGGAAGAAGCTAGGAGATGAAGCATTCCACTAATTTATATTTGCTAGTCCAGGTCTCACCTTGTCAGCAAGGACAAAAACTCAG